CCGCCCCCGTCTCCACGACAACGTCCTGCGTGGGTGGAGGTCGGAGGGCGGTGCCCCAGCACGAGATGGAGAGGCCTCACCCACGCTGGCACCGGGAGGCTGAAGCCCTCTGGGAGACTTCAGACCGGGAAGCAGGAGGATTTGCGAAAGAGCATAGGTGGCATCTGTCATCCTTGCACTCCTGTTGACCGAGGGGGGAAAATCGCGAGTTGGACCCCATCCGGGGTAATTTAGTGATTTAGTAAAAGCCCCCATCTCAAAATTATGATTAAGGGGCCTGGGAGATGGCTCAGTGGAATAAGCGCTTCCCTGGCAAGCGCAAGGGCCTGAGTTCAATCCCAGGTTCCAGAAAAAAGATTAAAAGGGCTGGAAAACCCGGCGTGACAGTGAACAGCTGTAGCCCCAGCCCTTAGGAGGCTGAGGCAGGAGGATGGTTGCAAGTTCGAGACCAGCCTGGGTGGGCCACAGTGAACTCCAGGCCAGCCTGAACTACATAGCAAGACCCTGTCTCAGAAAGAACCCCCCCCCAAAAAAAAAAGCAGTAACGGGGCCGGGGAGATGGCTCAGTGGAATAAGCGCTTCCCTGGGAAGTGCAAAGGACTGAGTTCAATCCCCGGTTCCGGAACAAACAAACAAAAACAATAACGTAAAACTAAAAAAGATAGGGCCCGGGGAGGTGGCTCAGTAGAATAAATGCTTCCCTAGCAAGCGCAAGGGCCTGACTTCAATCCCGGTTCCAAAAAAAAAAAAAAAAAAACTAGGATACGGTGTACCAAGGCCCTGGGCCTAATCTTCAGGGCCAAAAGGGGTGGGACTCAGAGATAAGAGACAGACCCGGATATCTGCGGGCCAGTGGGAAACCCAGAGAGCAGGGGCAGACCAAACTAGTCTGGCCCCCTAGCTCGCCCACTCAGTTACCGAGCCCCTCTTACCACTCCCTCGCTACCTTCGGACACTAGGGCAGGGGGCAGCAGGCGAGTACGCCAGCGGTGGCCACCCAGGCTGGCAAGGGGTGGGACGACAGCAGGGACTCGGTCTCCCACTCTCGGCCACACTGCTGGCTGCCACACTGAGGGGGTGGGGCGGGAGTCTGAGCGTCGGTCCCAAAGGCTCCGGCCCGGAGGACCGCGAGGCCGCTGCGCCCCCTCGTGTCCATGTCGGGCAGTGCGCCTGGGCCCAAGTCCTGGGGGTGCAGAGGTGAGAGCGAGGGCAGGCGGACATTGAAAGGAATGTGTCCCCGGGCTGGTGAGATGGCTCAGTGGTCTAAAGCACCTATTTAAAACAAACTTAGCTGGGCTGGGGAGATAGCTCAAGGGCATAAGCGCCTGCCTGGGCAAGCCTAACGTCCTGAGTTCAATCCCCAGTACCCCCCAAAAAAATAAAAAAATAAAACAAACTTAGCAAAGCCTAGGGACCACGGTTCAATCCCCCAGCACCACATGCCAGCCAGCCCGCCCCCTGGTGGGCTGAGCTGGCCACACACACACACACAAATAAATAAAAAAATTAAAAGAAAGGAATGTGTCCCAGGCACCCTGCTGCGGAAAAAAGAGGGTCATGATACGGCGGAGTCATAGGAACACGCAGACGCAGTTAGTTCTTGGACACAAGTTCAGAGACAGGTGGAAAATCTGAGATGCCATTACATAGGTGAGTGGTGTGCTGAGGCACCCTTATGCATCCACACACTGCTGGGGACCTTGGTGGCCTGGGGGAGTGGCAGAGCCCAGCATACAGGAACAGCTAGGTGGCAGTAAAGTTGATAACTCGTTGCTGGCAAAATGAATGATTGAACAAGAGAATAAACACCCATATCTTTACAAAACTAGGAACAGGACTGGGGAGATAGCTCAGTAGAATAGACACTTGCCTGGCAGGCACAAGGTCCTGAGTTCAATCCCCCGTACCGCAAAAGAAAAAGGAAAAAAAACTAGGAACGGCCAGAGACTCAGAATCTAAGAAGAGGAGGGGGTCTCAGAATGATGATCCAGAGAGCTGGGAACTCAGGGAGTGCGCACGCACACACACCCTTAGTCCTGACCTTCTCTGGGACAAGATGCTCCCACCCTGGGGACAGACTAGAAAAGGCGGTATCTGGGCTGGGCCCCCCCTGCATGGTGAGGGAAATGGAGTGCTGATGTTGCTATGATCCTTTTAATAACCACCTTGCACTGCATGAGTGGCTGACACAGCAGAAGGCTGCTGCTGTCGGAGAGCAGAGCTGTGGTGTGGAGTGGAGAGCGACTGGCCGTGACTCACGCGGCTACCACATGGGGTGTGGGGGAGTCCTTGCACTGCTCAGGGGTCCTGGCCACTGTGTCACTGGAGACAGCTGGGACACCTCGACCTATTTCAAGTGGTCCACAGTGTAGCTAAGACTTCTCAGCAAAGTGGGGGCCTCTTTCCCAGTTGTCCCTAATCCATCTATGGAAAATCTGAGCTGTGGTGTGGGTCTCAGTGTGGATGTACAGGGAAGGGCCCATAGTCGACTCTCCCACCAAGGCCAGAGGAGCTCAAGGGGGTCCCCAGAGGTTTTGGGGTTCTTCCCTGAAGCAGGTTTTTTTGTCTTCTTTTTTTTTTTTTTTTTTTTTTTTTTTTTTTTTTTTTTTTTT